GCACAGTGCCGGATATCTGTTGACGGTGTTGTGGATCCAGTGCTACTTTTTCGCATTCTGTTCCGTGCAAAGGCGTGTCGCATCCGTACTCAGCCAAGCAGGGTGCGCGCGATCTTGACTTGTTAGGATGCCAGAAGTTTGTTTTGAAGCGCGGTCAGCAAGCTTCAATTCTGGCTTCTCGCCGCGAGGTCAAGGCAGCAGCAAACCTCGACGTGGTGATTCCAGAAGAGAGCCCCGTGGGAGAGCATCAGTCCAATAATGTAATAGAGCACCCAGTCCAATAATGTGAAGGACTAATTCGTGTCGTAAAGATCCAAATCGAAGATAAGCTCAACATGATGCTAAGCGATAGACGTCCCATCCTACCCTACCATGGCTAATCAATCGCGGTGTTTTTTTCGATCGCGCGCTTCCAGGTGGGACATGGCGGCCGCGCGGCGTACCGAGCGCTGAAAATTCAAACCGTTCAGGAGAGAGCCGATCCCGTTTGGTGGATGTTTTCATAACAAATCAGTAGACTTGAAAACCAACCAACTGGCAAAGCCCGCGTCCCGATGGGAGAGCGGCATTGTTCTAGGAACCAAAGAATCCAGCAGCGAAGCTTACATAGGAAATTCAGACGGCGTCCTGACAGCGAGGTCAACCGTCTGAACAGGGCGCTGAACAGTTGAAGTCTTTCATGGGTCTTCCGTGGAAACTGGTGCTGGAAGGTGAAACCATGCGGAGAGCTGTTGTCATCGAGCCGGGTCAGAGGGCAAACTTGCCTTCCCCGGCCCAGTCGCAAGAGGAGCAGGCTGTAGTGCATCGCCGGATGTACATTTTACAGAAGGACATTGCTAAGTACGGGTGCAGTGTGACATGCATGTCCCGGCTGCAGTGCCCCAAGGTTGGGTCTGCCCCCAGGTGCCGATGGTGAGGCTTGTCATGGAAGTATCACCGAATAGTTACAGGAAGGAGGGAAGAGAGAGAGCTCTTAAATCAGCAACTCGCCAGTGGAAACAGCAACGCCAAAAGGCAGAGGACGGTTCAGCCACATGTACAACGGCAAAGAGGCAAGCGACCTCTAGTCGAAGCTAAAGCGGGTAGACCAAATCCACTTGACAGGCGACCTCTCGGAGAAGACGCCCGAGGCGCTGTCTAAGCGAGTAAACCAAATCCAACAGAGAAACGAACAAGTGATGGACTTGAAGACGAAATGGGAACAGGTGGATCTTCTTTGCCTGGCTTGGCGCGGCAACCGGTAAACCAAGAGCCCAATGACGTGCAGATGCCCGACCTGGTTAATCCGGCTATCTGCGCATTTCCAAACGCATCCAGAGGAGATTTGTATGGTTTCTCGCAATGTTATCGTAATTTTGGATCAGCTTCTATGGCTGCGTTCCAAGAGGTTTTTAATGCTCCGCGTGCTTCTGCACTGTCAGGCACTTTTGGTTTGAATCCAGGCTTCGTTTCAGACTTTAGCGTGCGTCGTACATGTGCCGGAACAGCAGATTTCAGCAATTCAGCATATTAGAGGATAGCACGGGCGATCATGCAACGGCAGAAGCCGATGTCAGTAATTACGTCCGCTACCAATCATTGCTTGGACCAGGCCTGGCCTGCTAAACGCGTTTCTTCGCGTGTCGACCTGCTCGGAGAGCAGAGCAACGGCGGGCGGTATTTCCTCGACGTGCAACCGGAGTCCTCCGCTGTGCAGAGGCATCCGGTGATGCAGTCTGAGCTTCAGTGTGAAGCGCCACGTAGTTTTTCAAACAGTCATTTCGGCAAATTGTTTTCTTTCGCGGTCAGCAGTCCGTATCTTGCATCCGAGTTGAGAGCCGACTTGTTCAGTCCGAATGGGTTCATATCAGTTTTTTTTTTCTCAACGTTTGGAGCTGCATGGAAGAATGCGCATTTCGCTATTTTTGTTTCCGAGGGTGCGTGCAGCTGTTTTGAGAGGATTCCGTGAACAATGGAAGACAGACGGGGAAGCCTACCCGCTCTCCAATGACACTGTCTGTTGTGAGGAGCCCAGTTTTGACTTCCACGAATGGTCTTGTGAAACGGAAGTTTCTCGATGACAGCGCAGGTGCTAGATTTCCTGAGCAGCTCGTGCTCGAAGCAAAGACAAATAAACATAGAGTTTACGTCGAAGTCCCCAGATCAGAAGCTGTTCAGGTCACAGGACAGCCCCCCGATGTCAACGCGATGGGTAATAGTAAACGAAGAAGATGAGATTTCTCCAGATGAGATTTCTCCAGAACTCAGAGCACGATTGGTAGCTAGGGAGGTGAAGAGAGGCAAACGCACATATTTGTTCGCAGCCGCGCCCCCGCTGAAGGCGAACGCGGTTTTGTTCAGTCAGTTGGCGTGCCAAAGGGTCCACGCATCAGGTATTTTTTTGAATATTAATTTCGTTGATGCTGTTCGTGTGAACATCCGCGCAGATGCCATCCGGGACGTGTGCATTGAACTCCCAGAGCAAGATTCCGAACCCAGGATGTAGGCAAAGTGGCTCTTTGTATGTACAGGGCCAGAGACGCAGCTCAAGCTTGGGAATGGTTTTGCAGTAGAGTGCTGACCAGAGCCGCATTCGTTCACGGTAGTTCTAGTCCTTGCATTTTCGACGAATTTACAAGAGACGTAATATCAGTTGTGCGCGCTGATGATTCCGCAGCATCCTCGCGCGACGGCGGCGTTGAAAGGCTTGCAGATGTGTTGATGGCATCGATGAGCTTGAATGTCGAATCGACGCTGGGGCCAGAAGACGGCGGCGACGGGCGTCCGGATTCTCAGCGGGATTGTGTCTTGGACAGGATGGCATTGGGTGCGAGTGGGACCATAGGCACATTGAGCTCTAATTCGGAGACTGGCATCCAGGGAGAGCGATCGAAGAGGTGCTCTGCTCTTGGTGGCAAAGAGTCGTCAGGTCCTGATTTGACATCAAGCCACTTCTCCACGCGTGGTCAAAGCGTTCAGTTTGTGCGTGAAAATAAGTTACGTAGCGCAAGACCGAAGCGACACTCAGTGCGCTGCAAATGACATGGCGAGAGGAATGCAACGGCCAACGCTTGGTCATTGGAGCGCAATGACGCGACTCGCACGTTATCTGATGGGCCGACCGAGGGCATTTTTTTTTTTTTTTTTTTTTTTTTTTTTTTTTTTTTTTTTTTTTTTTTTTTTTTTTTTTTTTTTTTTCTTCTCCTTCGATGTAGTTGTTGACGCAAGCCATTCAGGATGTTTAAGAGCGCGCAATGGCACAAATGGAGGAGCATGAATGTTTGTTTGCGCGCTATTCAATCCTGGAGCAGCACGCAAAGCGTAATTGCATTAAGCTCTGGGGAGTCAGATTTTAGCGGAGTAGTGAAAGCAGCACGTGTGCTTTTAGGGGCCTTGCCATTAGCATCTAACTCCAGTTTTTTTTTTTTTTTTTTTTTTTTTTTTTTTTTTTTTTTTTTTTTTTTTTTTTTTTTTTTTTTTTTTTTTTTTTTTTTTTTTTTTTTTTTTTTTTTTTTTTGTTTTTTTTTTTTTTCGAAAAGGCGTCAGAGCATTGACGGTTCAGCAGCAGCAGGAATCGCATCCAGGGGAGGACTGGGTAAAGTGAAGCACCTTCACACCCAGTCACTTTGGGTTTAAACAAGCATCCGCAAACGACGATTTCGCCATCCGAAAGATCGGCGCTGACGACAACCCAGGCGATTTCATGACGAAGTATTTGGGCATACCGAGACTTGACCGATTCTTCAAATGACTCGGCCAAGCCGTTCGCGGCGGAAGACACGAGCTAGCGCCGCAACTTGCGAATCAACATGTTGGAGGAATAGGAATGGCTTGAGCCTGGCTCTGCGCAAACAACCAGAAACAACAGCTGAAACATGTTCTTAGACAGCAGCGGCGTTGCGCGCAAGAAAGCGTAACCGCAGCATCCGTGAATCTCTGCTCCACCACCTCGGTGAGTCAAACCATGTAGAGTATGCGAACACCTTGTGCGAGGACCTGCTCGCCCGAGGTGTAGGAGGAGTGTGGGGACATGTGCTCGTCTTGTGTATCGTAGCAGAACTGTGCGCGATTCCGCAACCATGTCAGATCCAAAAAAAAAACATAACATCACATACTATCATTTCAAGGGAGCCATATGCTAAGCAACAACATACTTTCGCTGGGGGTCTGTCGGTGGCTCCTTGGGGATCTCTTGGGGACCGCTAGCGGTCTTGGGGCCCATCCGACGGGAATGGACTCGAAGTGCCAGTTCGGGGTCGCCCTGTTGGGCCCGCCAAGGATAGCCCTCCTTGGAGCCTCCTGGGCCGTGTTGGGGCGCTATTGGGGGTGCTTCTCGGGTCGTCTTGGATTTGTTCGAGGTCGAAACGCGGAGCGTGCTAATGATTTTGCCTTCTGGGCCGGCCACCATGTCCTCCAGTGCGGCCCACGAGGCGCCCGAGAGATGCTCAAGACGGCCCCGCAGGACCCGAGGCCGTGGTGGAAACTTGGAATCCGAAGTGGCACTCCCGAGGCGTCCGAAGATTCACGCGGCACACCCTGGGAGCACTCACAGTAAACAGAATCAGTCCCGCCCCAGGCCCATATCAGCATGTAACCTTCGCGGGCATTGAAATCCTTCAGTTTCGTTTTGGGTTGCTTTGTTGTGGATTGTTGTGTGCATCGCACGATCTGGCAAGTTTGTCCTGGCCATGGTATGTTTGTTGAACGAACGTTCGCAATTGATGTGATATCATGCGCTGGGAACCTGGAACACCGCGTTTTTTTTGTTTGGGCAGGTCTGCAGGCGTGCATTTGCGAAAGCTGTCTGCATTGGCTCAGCCACAGCAGACACCTAATGCTGCTGAATTGATGCGCTGGGTTGAAGACGGTGCTTGCGCACGGACCTCAAACAATGGAAGCATATTGAATCCCGGAGCACTTGGAAACGCCAGGGAGCACCTGGAAGCAACCACAGGCAAGCGGAACCGAGGGGCAGAACACGAACCACGACCGGATATGTTCGGGGCTAGTGGCGTGGTAAGCCAGACCAGAGCTGGTGTCGCATCAACGCGCCGCTGACCTAGTACCAGATATGGTCGGTGAAAGGGTGCCTGGGGCTGGTGGCGCAAGTGGCGGGCCAGTCAGGGTCAGTGTCGGACAATCGCGCCAGCTTATGGACAGGGATTACTCACGCGTGCCAGCTATTTCTAGACGGCTGGCAAGGGCATGACTAGTCGGGGCCAGCGGTGAACTTACGTGCAGGGGTGTTGCGCGATCGTTTAGTCGGGGCAAACTGTCTGTACACATGATAACATGTTTCCTTGGCCGTTTATGCTACAGGAGGGGTTGCAGTTTTTCCGCCGCCGTTTTTAGTTGGTGGGTAAGTCGGGGCGTGCGGCAGGAAGCAGGTAGCATTCAGTCAAGCTGCGTGATGGTCTCATGTGGTGGCAGAAGTATGCTGCAATGTTGTTTCGAATGCAGAAGGCAGTGCCAGTTTGCCATTGATGCTGGTCGGGTGCTGGGCGACGGCGGGTTGAACGCGAAGTTGTTTTGTTGTCTTCATCGGCGAAATCCTGAATGAGTAACATGCATTGGGAAACGTGGTCAGGCATGAGGCTGGTTTACGGAAGTAGTTTTTTTTTGTTTCTGTCACCACATCAGACAGGGTCATTCATGAAGTGCATGGTCGTGGCTTCGCGCTGACATCGTTAGACTGCGATCTTCGCGGAGCAGTTCACGCAAAGGCATAAACATAATTCGTCGAAGGTCCGCGCGGGGCCCCGCTCATTGGGGCGCGCGCGAGGGGCGGTGCCGGAGGTGCCGCCAGGGGGGCCCAACGCCGATTCAAGAAATTTGCGTGGACCTCCGAGAAACTGTGCTTATGCATTCTTTTGTTTCTCTATCGATGGCTTCCGCTGCAGTCGCGGCCGTGAAGTAAGCACCATTTTTTGGGGACAGGGGGCCCCGGTTTTCGGGCCGTTCTGTCGGTCCAGGTCGGGGAACCCACGAATGCACCACCTGGTTTTGTGACCCTGAGGGCCCCAAATTGCCCGAGACATCCTCGGAGAACGACTCGAAAAATGTTGTTCCCATCCTCCTTAAGGAACATATCCCAGAACTAATTTCGAGCACCCGGAAGAGTGTCAAAAGAGTGTCCGAGGCTGGCCAGGTGTAGAGAAGCTCTTTCGTTCCTTATTCATCGCTTCTCGTCGTAGTATGACGACCGTGGGGAAGAGTTCGCTGTTTGAGTCGGACTCTTGTGCCTTCCCCTCGCCGCTCGGCGTGCTACCCGTGCTGCCCTCGGCGACCCGGTGTCACCGCTCTTACTCCAGACCTGGTGGGTTCGGAGGTTGATAGACCTCCTACCCTGACACGTTGATTAGCGAAATGGCCGTTTTCGGTTTGCGAGAGGGCGTCGCGTCGCGGCTGTCGTTTTTTGCGGGTCCAGGTCTGTCGGTTTCGGCCCTATGCCGTTTTCACAAAATGGAGGTTTACTAAAAGGAGGTTCGCCCACCGCCGATGGGTCTAGGTCTACTCCCTCACTGTCGCGAGGAGAAGGAGGACAGCCCTGCCTTGATCATCTCCATGACACCCTCCGCGGACCCTGGCATGCATACTCTGGGCCCCAGCGGGCTACCGTGCTTTTCTATTTCTCACTGCCCTTCCTATCACTGCTGCGTGCCGATGTTCTTGTGCCTTTCTCTTTGCCTAAGTCGGATGTCGATTCTTCCATCACATGAACACCACAGCCCAGTGGCTAAGGTTTGCCCATCGCAAACCGCAGGAGGGGGACTGTCTCTATGCAGCAGTCGTGAACGTACCCTCAGCACCATTCCTTCAGTTTGAGGATTACGCAGGGCAGGTAGCGATGGCCTGGTCTGGTGGGCATGGCGGCGCAAAGGATTGCCCTCAGCTCCTGCAGGTGAAACAGGGTGCACACGCAAGGAAACACGTACTCAAAAGGCTTACGATATTTCGCCAACCCCGAGAAGAGGAGGTGTGCGGCTTACGATTTCGTATGCGTTTTTCGCCGCTTCCCGTCGCGTTACCTGCGTGTAGTTGTTGCTCATTCGTCCTCGTCTTTCTCCGCCTGTTGTGGGCCTCTTGAGGGCCTCTTGGAGGCTTGGCTGCCTGGCTCCTGGGGGCTCACCGTTGCCGCATAGGGGGCTTCTTTGGGGTCTTTTGGGGTCCTCTTTGGGGCCCTCAAAAGAGGACCCCAAGACCCCCTTTCCCCCAAGATCCCCTAAGACCCCCTTCTTGGGGGTCTCGGGGGGGCCATCTTTGGGGGGAGGGCTCCCTGGGCCCCAGCGAGTTCCCTCCCCTGGGTGTCTCTTGGGCCCCATCGTGGGGCCCTCTTTCAAACTTCTTGGCAGTCTTGGTGGCCTCCTGGACAGTCTTTCGGCACCCTTGGGTCGGCTCCAGGCTCTCTTGGAGGCCTCTTGGATTTTCCTGGGCCAGTCTGGGGGGCCTCTCGGGTCGTCTTGAGCTTTGAGAAGCCCGAGAAGGCGAGCCCGCGACAACCACTCAAAACCTGGCGAGACATTTTTTTTGCCTATTGGTACCTCCTTGGGGGTCCTCTTTGGAGGCCCTCGGAGAGGCGTCTGCGGGGCTGTCCTGAGGCCGTCTTGGAGTGTTCCTGAGGCCTCTCCGGCGTGCTGGAGCTCCTCCGGAGCCATCTGCATTATGTTGGGGGCATCGCTGAGGTCACGGAGGGTGGATTTCGAGGCTCCGAGGGCCCTGCAGATTTTTTCGTTGTTCAGGAGGGGAGAAACACCCAGACACGATTAATCGTCGATCCTCAGGAAAAGATTTGGAAAATACGGGAAGTCAGGGGGAAGACGAAAACCCGGAAAGTATGAGAAAATATGGGGACTCCTGTTATTTGTGTTTATTTACCTGTGTGTCACAGGGCCCCTTAAGTTGCTGCAGCCAGGTTGTATTACAGGTGTGTGGGTGCTTCTCGTTTGGCGGAGCTGCTGGATTCATGGCTTGGGGTTGTCGGGTTAGAGGGGCCTCCTCTGGGGGCTGTCTTGGGCCGCCTTCGGTTTTTCTCGGGCAGGGCGTCTTCCGATTATTTTCCTCAGGATAATGCGCGGGCTAATTTGTCGCCATGCTGGTCTATCTTGGGATCTCTTCGGAGCTTCATTGGGAATTTGGAGGCCACCTTGAGGCAACTTTCGTTATCTTGGGGCCATGTTGGGGCCTCCGTAGACGACGTTGAGCGTCTTCAGACTCTGCCAGGGGCTCGTAGGTCGCCCAGGGTGCCAAACGTGCGGTGTGCATGTGAGACAGCTTTGTCCAGCCTCCGAGGCGTCATTTTTTTCCCAACCCTCCTTGGTTGGGTATTCGTTTTGAATAGAGCAGTGTGGTCGCGTCTCCTCCCGCCTCCCTCCTGCCTCCTGCCTGCCTCCTCCTGTCTTGCTTGCGGGGGGCTGCGATCTGTGAAACTGTCGCCACTTTCGAGGCCTGCTGGGGGGCCCAGCACAGTGAGGGCCACGGGCGGACCCAAATTAGACCTCGCCATCCCTGGGGGGCTGCGATCTGCGAAACTGTCGCCATTTTCGAGGCCTGCTGGGGGGCCCAGCACAGTGAGGGCCACGGGCGGACCCAAATTAGACCTCGCCATCCCTGGGGGGCTGCGATCTGTGAAACTGTCGCCACTTTCGAGGCCTGCTGGGGGGCCCAGCACAGTGAGGGCCACGGGCGGACCCAAATTAGACCTCGCCATCCCTGGGGGGCTGCGATCTGCGAAACTGTCGCCATTTTCGAGGCCTGCTGGGGGGCCCAGCACAGTGAGGGCCACGGCGGATTCAAATTAGACCTCGCCATCCCTGGGGGGCTGCGATCTGCGAAACTGTCGCCATTTTCGAGGCCTGCTGGGGGGCCCAGCACAGTGAGGGCCACGGGCGGACCCAAATTAGACCTCGCCATCCCTGGGGGGCTGCGATCTGCGAAACTGTCGCCATTTTCGAGGCCTGCTGGGGGGCCCAGCACAGTGAGGGCCACGCGCGGATTCAAATTAGACCTCGCCATCCCTGGGGGGCTGCGATCTGCGAAACTGTCGCCATTTTCGAGGCCTGCTGGGGGGCCCAGCACAGTGAGGGCCACGCGCGGATTCAAATTAGACCTCGCCATCCCTGGGGGGCTGCGATCTGCGAAACTGTCGCCATTTTCGAGGCCTGCTGGGGGGCCCAGCACAGTGAGGGCCACGCGCGGATTCAAATTAGACCTCGCCATCCCTGGGGGGCTGCGATCTGCGAAACTGTCGCCATTTTCGAGGCCTGCTGGGGGGCCCAGCACAGTGAGGGCCACGCGCAGATTCAAATTAGACCTCGCCATCCCTGGGGGGCTGCGATCTGCGAAACTGTCGCCATTTTCGAGGCCTGCTGGGGGGCCCAGCACAGTGAGGGCCACGCGCGGATTCAAATTAGACCTCGCCATCCCTGGGGGGCTGCGATCTGCGAAACTGTCGCCATTTTCGAGGCCTGCTGGGGGGCCCAGCACAGTGAGGGCCACGGCAGATTCAAATTGAGACCTCGCCATCCCTGCGGGGCTGCGATCTGTGAACCTGTCGCCACTTTCGAGGCCTGCTGTGATCCCCGTTTTCGAAGTGGCTAGGAGTGCTCAGGAATTGTAAATCATCAGCTTTATCAAGCCCTTTTCCTGTAGCCAGTGTCCTGCGAGTCTCCCGAATTCCGTCTGCAGACATATGTAACCCTCGCTCCGTCATCGCCCCCTTATAAAGTATCCTAAACTATTTGCGCCCCGCTTTTGCGCAGGGGTTGGGTACGTTGCCAGGGTAATTTTTTTCCCCAACCCTCCTGCGTTGGGTACTCGTTTTGAATAGAGCACTGTGGTCTCCACTCCTCCCGCCTCCTGGGCTGCTGGGGGGCCAGCGGAGTGACGCCCTACGGGGACTCAGATTAGACCTCGCCATCCCTGGGGGGCTGCGATCTGTGAAACTGTCGCCACTTTCGAGGCTGCTGGGGGGCCCAGCGGAGTGACGCCCTACGGGGACTCAGATTAGACCTCGCCATCCCTGGGGGGCTGCGATCTGTGAAACTGTCGCCACTTTCGAGGGCTGCTGGGGGGCCCAGCACAGTGGGTACTACGGGGACTCAGATTAGACCTCGCCATCCCTGGGGGGCTGCGATCTGTGAAACTGTCGCCACTTTCGAGGGCTGCTGGGGGGCCCAGCACAGTGGGTACCCACGGCGGATTCAAATTAGACCTCGCCATCCCTGGGGGGCTGCGATCTGTGAAACTGTCGCCACTTTCGAGGTCGCACGGAGGCTGCTGCTGGGCCCAGCACAGTGGGTACTCACCGCAGATTCAAATGGGACCTCGCCATCCCTGGGGGGCTGCGATCTGTGAAACTGTCGCCACTTTCGAGGCCTGCTGGGGGGCCCAGCACAGTGGGTACTCACCGCAGACTCAAACTAGACCTCGCCATCCCTGGGGGGCTGCGATCTGTGAAACTGTCGCCACTTTCGAGGGCTGCTGGGGGGCCCAGCACAGTGGGTACCCACGGCGGATTCAAATGGGACCTCGCCATCCCTGGGGGGTTGCGATTTGTGAAACCGTCGCCACTTTCGAGGGCTGCCGGGGGGCCCAGCACAGAGGGTACTCACCGCAGATTCAAATGGGAACTCGCCATCCCTGGGGGGCTGCGATCTGTGAAACTGTCGCCACTTTCGAGGGCTGCTGAGGGGCCCAGCACAGTGGGTACACACCGCAGACTCATACTAGACCCTCGCCATCCTTGGGGGGCTGCGATCTGTGAAACCGTCGCCACTTTCGAGGGCTGCTGAGGGGCACAGCGCAGTGGGCTTCCCGTACGTTTTTCTCCTGCTCTTCGTTCCCGACTCCCCATGTCCTCTTCGAGCCTGTAGTTGTCGCCCTTCGTTCTTGTATGGTTCTCCTGCGCATCATGCCATTGGCGCGTGTCCCAAGTAGCGTACATATCAAACAACGGATCCTGCAATTTGATTGTCCGTGCAAGTTTCGGCCAACTCCTCGTTTCCCATGATACAAATGGGTTGGGTACGTCACAGGGTAATTGTTTTTTTCTCGAGCTTCCATGCTGACACGTTGTGTATTTGATCTCGCGGGGCAGAGACTGTCTCGGGGCGGTAATTCGAGCAATGTGCCGCCAACCTGGCATTTGTGCGTTGTCGCGGACAGCCATGGACTGAGGAGACGTAGTCCGGAGCTGCCAACGTGGGCCGTCTGAGTATTGGAAGGTCGCGCCTTCAGGGGCAGTTCCGGCCTCAGTAAGTGAGAGTACATCAGGCCTCATAATAATAATCATCATCATCATCATCATCATCATCATCATCATCATCATCATCATCATCATCATCATCATCATCATCATCATCATCATCATCATCATCATCATCATCATCATCATCATCATCATCATCATCATCATCATCATCATCATCATCATCATCATCATCATCATCATCATCATCATCATCATCATCATCATCATCATCATCATCATCATCATCATCATCATCATCATCATCATCATCATCATCATCATCATCATCATCATCATCATCATCATCATCATCATCATCATCATCATCATCATCATCATCATCATCATCATCATCATCATCATCATCATCATCATCATCATCATCATCATCATCATCATCATCATCATCATCATCATCATCATCATCATCATCATCATCATCATCATCATCATCATCATCATCATCATCATCATCATCATCATCATCATCATCATCATCATCATCATCATCATCATCATCATCATCATCATCATCATCATCATCATCATCATCATCATCATCTCTCCTCCTCCTCCTTCCTTGTTTGCTGTCGTGAATGCGCCATAGACCTCCGTAATGCCGAGTTTGGAGT